GCTGGAACAAAGTGGTAAATCTACAAAAAGCCATTGAAATGCAAAAATTTGATGAAACGGAGCAACAAAAAATGCATCCACGAAATGAAAACGAAGGTAACCTTGAACCATTAGAACCTAATCAAATGGCGACAAAACCTTTTACGAGCCAAAGGGCACGTTTGTCACAGAGATCTGCAACGGCTGGTAACCAGAAAAAATCCTTTTCTCTAAATATTCAGAAATCGCAAAAGGCTCTAACCAAACAACGTCAACCTATGGAACCTAACCAAGATACAGGTAAGCCAAATGACAAGAATGGCAGTGACATACAAAATGCTCAGCTGATGCAAGTAAATACACAGATACTCCAGATGCAAACGAAAAACAAATTGGAAGAAATAATAAATCTCAATAATCACACCGAATCTGCCCGGAATTCGGGTATGGTAGAAGGAATTGCTAGCAATGCAGGCAATGATAACCCAGTTCTTAATGATGCTAAAGCTAAAGTATCAAATGGCTGGACGGAAGTGAGGAACCATAAAAAACGCAAATTTGTTGTTGGTAACAGCACAACAAGCTCTAGTATACAAACAGTACCTAAATATGTAAGCCTTCATGTGACCAGGTTGAATCCAAATACAGATCTGAAGGAGTTAACAAAAATGTTGAGTATGCATCTTGAAGATGTCAAATGTGAAACCCATCAATCAAAATTTCCAGAAAGCTATAGTTCAGCAAGAGTTAGGACTCGACAGGATGACCTCGAAAAAGCTTGGGCACCCAGTGTCTGGCCAGATGGGGCATTAGTGTCTCGTTTTTTATTCAAGAGAGGGATGACCACACCAGGTCGATAATCTCAGATAAACCAGCTGAAAGTAATACCTAATGCAGTGATGAAAGTATACAGAGTTATGTATTTCCAAACTTTGAACTGGTAAACTATTACTGTAGATCATCATACCGTGGGGGAGGTGTTGCTGTATGGTGTAATTCATCAATTATTGATGTCCAGCCAATAGATCTTGAAGCTTATTGTGATGATAAGAATATTGAAATAATAGGTATAACATGGTATGATAAGGGATGTATATTCAAAGCTTTTAACTGTTATAGATTACCAAATGGTAATTTTAATATTTTTATAACCCTACTGAATACTTTACTGGAATCTATGTTCGAACCAGATGCAGTTATATCTCTGTTAGGGGATTTTAATGTAAATTCACTTGGTAAAAATGAGCAGACCGTATTTTCTGACTTGCTGGAATCCTTCAACCTGAGTCCTAGGATAGAGGAGCCAACAAGAGTAACAGTAACATCAAGTAGCATTATTGATCAAATCTATACAAACTCAACAGATGGAACATATTTAGTGTGTGATAACATTGTCTCCGACCACAGATCCATTCTCTTCAGTTTCAATAACGCTGTAGGAGGTACAAAAGATGATGTTTATGTAAACAAGAGAGCATGTACTGAAACAAATATCAGTTGTCTCATAAATACTTTATCTAAAGAATCTTGGACGGAAATGTATCAGGCTACAGACTTTGACACCAAATTTAATAATTTTCATGACACTCTATTGTTTCATTTTAATGAAGAATGCCTAGTGAAATCAACCAAAATGATTCAAAGTTCAAAAACGAATTATCAGATGCATTGATGGAGCGTCACCGACACAGTCATGTAGACCCCTTTTTAAAAAATATAGGATTCTACCTCTTGCAGGTCTATATATTCTTGAAATACTAGCTTATGTGCGTAGGCATGAAATTGAATTTACTAAAAATAAAGATGTTCATGATTACCACACTCGTAATAAAAATAAATTTCATATCCCATTTGCTCGTCTGAACCTAACAAAGAGGGGTACATACGTCTTAGGACTTGGGTTGTATACTGTTCTACCAGAGGGTCTCAGGAAGTCGGGAAATGGAAAACTGTTCAAGAGACAACTTAAAACGGTTTTATTAGAGAAGTGTCCATATTCTGTAGACGAATTTATGTTATCTGTTAAGTGATGTTATGTTCGTTCCTATTGTAAAACATTGACTTGTCCTATATCATGTACTCTGTGATCGATTGGATTTATAAATATGACTATGACTACTATGACAGATAAATTATGAACATACAAAAAAGGATACATATAAAGAAATGCATTGAGAATTAGCATTCTCTATGTGTTGAAAATATCAATTATTTCTCGGTTTATTGAACAGAAAACAACTACTGGCTATATGCCACGACGAATATTGAATTATATCTATTGAACACACACGATAAGAATTTGAGAACAAAATCTTCTGAAGTTGAGAATTTGCATTCTCCTTCAGTAAAAAATATGTATATGCACATAATATCATGTGAGAAAAGAACTACTTTCCTGGTTATTTGCCACATCGAACAGTGAATTATATCTGTTGAACATCTAGATGGAAATCATGAAAAATAAAAATCCTCCGAAATTGAGAATTTACATTCTCTCTCGAATCGGGTAAATAATATGATGTATTATGATATATAAAAAATTTAACTCACCAATATGTTCAGTATTGAAATGGAAATTGGATTGTATAGTAGTTATATTTCTCACAAACAGGTTATACATATGAATTCATTCGAATGAACTCAGATTCGTGATTAGATTTGCTCAATTTAGAATTTCTACTCACGTGCTGTATGATGAATATTAATTTGTCATACATCCACTTATTAACTTATTTACTAAGGATACGAAATTATAACATACTTGAAGTCGAAAAATTCAGGAGGAAAATTGAATCACGAAATTCATTACGAATTGACCTTTCAAATGAGTCAAATGACTGTCATAAAGATAGGTATGTATAGGTTAGGTTGTGTCGAAATGTCTTTTCCCAAAAACTTCATTTCATATTTTGGTAAGCAATCAGAATTTGTTTTGCTTGACTCATTGATGAATCAACTACAAATAGAGAAGGGCTCTGTACTCTGAGGAGAAATCGGTTTCGGCATATTTCAAGTCTGGATTTCATATGTTACTGTACCCCTACCCAGAATAATTCGTTAAGATGAGTGAAAAGGAGGTCATTCTTACCCTGTTTTCCTCTTTCTTTCAATTTGTTTGATTTCTTACAATTTGTTATCATGGAGGAGTTTGCCAAATTCCACCCTGTACAGTTTTTCGACTTTTTTATTATCTTCTCTTTAAAACATTACAGTGTAAGAACTTATGTTCATCTGTGTATTATTCTTCCGTTCTATTTGTTGTTTTTAATGTTAAATTAGTTTTGACTTGGTTGATGTCTTTGTTCACCTCCATATATAGCTTTTTCCACCGGAGCTGACGGTTCTTTACTAATTTCAAAGTTTTGATGCTCAGCGTTAATAGGTTTTTACTGCTTTTGTAAAAATATTTGCACTTGATATAATCAAAAGCTTCCTCAAGATGATGTAACTGTATAAATAAATACTTTCACGAAAAGTTTTGTTCGTTTCTAATGTTCAGCCTGATAATTTTCAATCAATGAATAAGTCACTATGATATGAATATTTTTTTCTATGGCGGATAAAAAGTTTGACATTTCATCTCTGTTGGCAGGTAACAAAATGTCACTTTTTATTTAATTACTTCAAAAGGTTTCTTTAGCAACGCAGGTCTAACTGCCACTATAAGTACAACAGCTTACCAGTTGAAAGCTCCAAATTTCACACCGATAATTTTCTGATTCAAATATATTGTTATATTTCTTCAATATCAAATCTTCGTTTTTCTCGTCATGGAAAAAATAGTGTATGTATCTATTATACACGGGAAGAATAATATAATGCAGCTCTCGGTTTTTTGTCTCAAGGTAATACAACCTCGAGCTAAAATCTAATACGTTTTCTTCTTGTATAATAAATAACTATTTTTCTGTGACGAGAAAAAAGTTTGACATTTCATCTATGTTGACATGTAAGAAAATGTCACTTTTTATAAAATCCTTTTTTTCTGTGACGAGCAAAAAGTTTGGCATTTTTTTCTCTGTTGACAGGTTACAAAATGTCACTTCTCATAAATCACTTTTTTCCCACGGGGAAAAAGTGAGTACTGTTTTACCGGATATATAGGTGCACTGTTGAAGGTTTTTGTTGTGCAAGTTCCGAAAAATAAGCCAATAACACCGTCTCCGAGAAAGAACTGAAAGTTTTTTTTATCATCCATTCCACTTCGCGGTTACCTTTATCATTAAACAAACACTAACTTCGCAATGTTTTAAAATCGAAACACTGAATTATATGGATACATATTCGATTACTTCACAGGGATTCCATGGCAACAAAAAATATGCCTACAAAAAGATGCCTGTAAACACAGGTGTAATACAAGTTAGAAATTTCCAATTTCACAACGATAATTTTATGATTTCATTATAATGTGATATCTTCTCAATATTGAATCGTCGTTTTTCCTGTCACAGAAAAAAAATAGTGTTTTATACACGTGAAAATATCAGATTTTAGCTCTCGCTTTTTGTATCTTTCCGCTACGCGTCGGGAGACAACAAAACCTGGAGCTAAACTCTAATACTTTTCTCCCTTGTATAATAAAGAACTATTTTTCTTGTTGTGCCAGTAATATCTTTTCCGAGAAAGAACTGCATGTCTTCATTTCTCATTTCATAAATCTTGAATACCTATGCGATTTCGAAAATTAATAAACTACCACTAAGTTCGCAATTTCTGAATCATATCACAGAATTAAATTGACAGATATTTGATTACTTCAGAAGGTTTCCTTAGCAACGCGGGTCTAATTGTCGCTATAAGGACAAAAGCCTACTAGTTAAAATTTTCTAATTTCAATATATTTCAATATTTTCTCAATATTCAAATATCGTTTTCTCGTCACAGAAAAAACATGTTTATTATACACAGGAAAAATATTGCATTTCAGCTCGAGGTTGAGTTGTCTCTTGGCGCGAAGCAGAGAAACAAAAAAATACTGTTTCTTTGTATAATGAATAACTATTTATTTTTCTTTCAAGATGCATGCTGACTACCACCCCCACTTTGGCAAATGCATTCGATCTGTGTCTAGTAGGAGAAATGTATGTTCGCCAACAGAGTATCCAAACAGGAGGAAGAATGCTTCGTAGTGGATTAGATAAACTGTTCACCAATCTACGTTTGGAACCCGATTCAGAACGCAAAGGATTATTGTTCGCCAAGGTTGGTACTGATGATTATAATCAAATGAATAATATGATGAAAAGTTGTGTATTGCTTAATATGCATATTTTACTCTTATAAATACTATTCAGGTAGAAAGCATCTGCAATGAATAATTATAAATTTTTTATCGATATGAGACCCCAATCTATCTACAATTATACATTTGATTTGAAATTCAGTGAGCACTTTTTTATGGTTAACGTGATCACATTGAGGAAAATTCCTATTAACCATAGTCAGGAAATCGAATTACCCCAGCAAGAAACTCTAATAGCATAAATGACAAGCAAGTTATCACCTGTGATTATAAAGATTAGATATAAAACCTTGCTGCCACTAGCGAGTGCATCTGTATATTGCTATCAGACGATGGTTCTGTAGTAGGTATCTGACTTTGCTACCGCTAGTGAGTGCATCTAATAATGGGAGTAGGGCAATGTTATAATCGTAGGTAGGGAACTTTGCTACTCTTGATGGGTGATCATATAGATAGTTGCATGAACTTCTTGCTGTAGTTATTCAGTAATTTTCCAGGATTGTTGTCATCAAGAAAGGTGAAATTTTGACTGATATCCAATTTCACTTCCCATAATTTCCACCCTGATGTTTGGTATGAATAGCAATTTATTGATTCCTAAAGAAAATTTCAGAACAATGATCTTTGAAATTTAATAGATCAATTGATTCATGCACCCTCAGAAAAAACAGAAGGCTTTTGAGTAATTAATGGAAAAAAGAATTTGTCTGAAACTTTCTGAAACCATTGTATTTCGAAAACTCGGCAAGTCATTACACATGCGCACAGGAAAACAAAATGTTACAAGTGAAATCATTCAAATAATTTCATAACTTGAACATTTTTGCTCACAATAAGTTTTTAGACCACATTCTATAGAGAAGCTCTGGAACATATTTGACAATCTCGAAGTTTCATGGTGCCAAAAAGAAGGAAATGTTGAATGTAAAATATTTGAGTTTCAGTCGAAATACCTCGAAAAAACTCATCTTTATCATTCCATCAATCCTGGTGATAACTGAAGCACTCAGATCTACGAAAGCGCTGTAAGGGACACAGGAGATTTTTTTATTTGTTTAAAAATGTTCAATCAAGAGCCCAACTGTGAATGATTGATCAAGCAAGATGTCTGACAAATGCTCATATAGAGGGGGACAAATCAGCAAAATATCGAATAACGATAAGTAGGCGCTAAATAACCCCAAGTAAGTTCGTCAAATATTATTTTCGTAGTAGACTGACAGTTGCATTATTGGTAGTGAGTGCAGTTCTACGCGATGAACCTCGCAACCACAAGCGTATAACTCACTAGTAGTAGTTCAGCTAGACTATTATAAAAATAATCATGCTAACCCAGAGTTGCTGCCAGCAGTAAATCTTCCTGTGGCAGGAAATTCACTTTCAGCAAAGTCGTTATTGCTATCATAGGATTTCAAGGTGCTGCTTCTATTCGAAAATGTATAACGGTAATATGATTTCTTGTAATAGTAGCAAGAAATATCTCAGCAAAAACTCTAATAGCACAATTTTCCTCAGTGCAGTCCTCATCAATAGAGGGGACTTAGCTACACTGAGTGTTATTCTTTTTCGAGCCCTCTGACATGGATCCCATAAGATTTTTTTATTGGAACTAGAAGTGGATTGCACCTAATGAAAAATAATTTTCATTCCTTCACCTCACTTTGTGTTTTTCATTCGTTTCAATATCTTTCTCAGTTCCCGAGTTATTGAGCTAATCATATCAGCCGCATCCTTGGCAGCAACATACTCGATTGGTATCATTGAACAATGTTATCATGGTGTGCTTTGGACATTGTTGAATATTGTTGAACTGCCAAAAATAATCGACATGTTAACAAAACTTAGTTCTGATCCGGGTTGTTCATATATTGTTCTTAGTGCAAAAAGCTAATAACAAGAGAGTATAAATAATTCAATTTGATATATTGCCTTATGAGTACTGCAATCAGGAATATGCAGATATTCATTACATTTATTGATTCTGTCATGGTAATTCACGACTAGTTGACCAAGAATATCGGAGGCGGTATCTGATCAGGAGGGTTCCTGCTTAATAGGTTTTCATGAACATACAGACAATTTTCAGAAATTGGCTTGCGTCAGAATGATGACCAAGACAGGCGTCTGAACTTTAGACAAAGGAAAAATGAGAAAGGCAGCTCGAATTGACCAATTTTCTCGAGCTCTCGTGCATAGTACCCTGCACAGGAACCAAAGAAGAGCTTTTCATTTGCTGACTGTACAAGATTTACACCCCGGTGATACCCAGAAACGAATAAAATTTTATAACTGGATTTTGGATTCCACAAATGATAATTCAGACTTATACACAATTTTGTGGACCGATGAGTCGTGCTTCACAAGAGTAGGTGCTGTGAATAATCATTATCTAAATATCTGGTCAGAACAGAATCCTCATGAACTACTTTCGGCGTTTCAAAATGAATTCAGTGTGAATGTTTGGATGGGATTTCTGAGTATGAGTGGTCATGTTTGTAGGCTACCACGATTGAACGTAGCAGCACTAGAAGATATTTCACTTGATGTGCTAGCGAAAAGCTGGATACAATTAGATGGTGCACCAGCACATTATGCAATACAGATTCGAATGATAATTATCCCAGACTTTGGATCGTATAGAAGTTCGTGAGGAGCTTGATTTGATCCAGGGTATAGAGCCAGTACCCTGGCCACCAAGATCACCCTATCTGAATCCATTGAATTATTGTGTATGGGGCTATCTGAGAGATAATACAGTATTACAATAAAAACTAGACGAGAGTTATACCAGCGAATAGGAGAGGCTTTGACCAATTTGAAAGAATCCAACTTTCTTTCAGGAATGATTGATTCACTCATCATTAGATGTCGAAAATGTATTGATGCTGGTAGATTATATTTTGAACAACTACTGTAATGATGATACATTTTGATAAGCTAAATGCTCATTGTAAATGTCTAGATAGCTTTGTTTTTAGTTCAAGTGTATGTATTAATTATTGAGAAGAAATTTCCTCAGATATGTTCATGAACACAAAAAATGGATACATATTTATACAGGGTGTCACTAGACCAGTGAGACAGTTGAATATCTCCTGAACCAATAGGAATTTTCAAAATATTATAATTTCACATCATATCGCATTATGAGTGCTAACTTTAGGAATGACTATATTTTCTACGAGGGGCGCAAGAAAGGCTCACAAAATCGAACATCAATTTTCTCAAATGGAACACCCTGTATTTCATTGCATTTTCATATTGTCCTTGAAGAGCTGAATTTAACGACCTAGCACACTTGGGGTCTAGCGGGAATGATTTCCGATATATAGGGTGTGGAAAATCGAGATTTTTCATTTTTGGGAATTTTTTGTGTCAAAACTATTCATTATTGGTCAAAACGGCTTACATGTCTGTATCTTAACTTTTGATCAACTATTTACTCGTATTTAATTGAAGCAAATACAGGGTGGTGTATAATTCTGACTGAAACTGAGAATTCTACACCACCCTATATTTGTTTCAATTAAATACGAGTAAATAGTTGATCAAAAGTTAAGATATGGACATGTAAGCCGTTTTGACCAATAATGAATAGTTTTGACACAAAAAATTCCCAAAAATTGAAAATCTCGATTTTCCACACCCTATATCTCGGAAATCATTCCCGCTAGACCCCAAGTGTGCTGGGTCGTTGAATTCAGCTCTTCAAGGACAATATGAAAATGCAATGAAATACAGATTACAGGGTGTTCCATTTGAAAAAATTGATGTTCGATTTTGTGAGCCTTTCTTGCGCCCCTCGTAGAAAATATAGTCATTCCTAAAGTTAGCACTCATAATGCGATATGATGTGAAATTATAAAATTTTGAAAATTCCTATTGGTTCAGGAGATATTCAACTGTCCCACTGGTCTAGGGATACCCTATATATATAAAGAAATACATGAAGAATATCAATTTATCATACATATAAAAAAAGTATTAATTGTTAAAAAACCAAATTCTTAGAAAATGATCAATAAAAAATGTTGTGGTTACTAGATCTGATATTCTGAAATGAATTGTTCGTGTTCGTGATCCATTTAATATTCAATATTCGAATGATAATTTGATATAAGATGAACATTCAGGTTAAAAGACTATTATGCATCGTATAACATTATTTCAAATAACAAGGAAATGAAGATCATTTTTCATCAGCTATAATTTACCATTAGTGTCCTAATGGAAAACAATCTTTAGGGTTCCATATCAGTGGATATGAAAAAAATAACACCCAGTGTAGCTAAGTCCCCTCTACTGATAAGAACTGTTCATATTGCCGATAGAAAAATGCTCACCAAATTCCAAATCGCTAGGGTTTGTCTCAACAAAGTTAAGAAATGAAAACCAAGAATTTATGCGAACTATAAGGGAAGAAGATTCTCCCTGACAAAACAAAAACTACATGTACAATATTTCAATTTTTGCTATCGATTGTCAAAGTTTTTTTTTCATCGCTCGAAACGCACGATCGGAAATTTCTATGATGTTGTATGAGTTAAACCTGAGACACCCTGACCCTAATTTTACGGGGTAAGATTTTGCATCACAGCCAACAAATATTCTCAATGATTTTTTTCATTCATTTTACTAGATTTTTTGGGATTTTCTCCTCGTATCTAAAAAATTGAAATATGCGTATTATTTCAATATATTTGTAGTGGGACAAATCAGATTATTTGGCCCAAAATGTCACTGCGTTTAACAAATTTTTCTATCAGGGAGCCCAAAAGAAAAATCCAGTAGCTTGCCAGTGACAATTTGTTTGAAAAAATGTTTGAAGGAAAGAAATATAGATATATTGAAAAAATATCGAATGTTTACTCATCTTTGGACGTTTTGGGGCCGAATCTGCTCCCGTTCTCAACATTAAAATGCAAAGTATGTCTCTTTGGAAGTTCTGCTCTGCTTATAG